TAAACCAATGTAACCAATCATGACCAAAGTAACCAAAACTTTTAAACCTGAAAAACCATCCCCACCACCTAAATGTTTTAATATATCTTTTACAAATATTCGCGGTCTGGGAAGCAACTTTCCGTCAGTTGAATCTTACCTCCTGCAAAATTCACCAGACTTGGTTGCACTCAGTGAAACAAATTTAAATTCTGCAATTCCTTTTTCAGATGTCAGTGTTGATGGGTACTATCCTTTGATTTGTAAAGACTCCAATAGTCACATGCTAGGTTTAGGGGTATACATACGCATTAATTCCCCTATTCGTCGTGAAATCAGGTTCGAATCCTTTGACCATTCTTTTATGTGCTTTCGCCTAGCACCTCTTCACTCTATCACCTTTCTCTTTGTTCTTTATCATTCTCCTTCTTCCCATGATTGGACTCTTTTAGATAATATCTCTGATCGAATTGACCATGCCCTCTCTCTTTACCCCTCTGCCAATATTGTTGTTGTTGGTGATTTTAATGCCCATCACACTGAATGGCTTGGCTCTAACTCCACTGATCCTGCTGGCACTAAAGCCATTAACTTCTGCGTTTCTCAATCTCTTACTCAAGTAGTTAACTTTGTGACTCGTTTTCCTGACAAACCTAATCATTTACCTCCACTCCTTGACTTATGTCTTGTCTCTGACCCTATCTTATGTTCAGTTTCTCCCTTTCCTCCTTTAAGTGGTTCTGACCATGCAATGATCTCTATAAATCTTTCTTCTCGTACTTCTTTTTTGGGCTCACCTTATCATCGCATTACCTACTACTACCCTAAAGCTGACTGGGATTCTTTTTGTGATTTTCTTCGTGATGGTCCTTGGGCTGATGTTTTTTCTCTCTCAGCGGATAAATGTGCCTCCTATGTAACCTCCTGGATTCAGTATGGAATGGAAGCTTTTATTTCTTCTCATCGGTTTCAAGTCAAGCCTCATTCTACTCCATGGTTTTCTCCTTCTTGTGCGGCTGCTATATCCAATCATAATCATTTTTTTCATCTTTTTCAAAAGAACAACTCTCTTGAAAACAAATGGCTATTTATCATTGCAAGAAATCGATGTAAAAAGGTGCTTTCTGATGCTAAACTCCATTATTCTCAGTTCACTAAATCTCGCATCTTATCACAGAAGTTAGGCTCTAAAAACTTTTGGAAAATCTTCAACAGCATTAATAATAAGGGTAGATCTAACATTCCATCTCTCATTTATGGGACTGATCTTATTACCTCTCCCAAGGATAAGGCAGAACTATTTGCAAAGAACTTTTCTTCTAATTCCACTCTTGAATCTTATGGACATTCTCTTCCTTCCATTCCAGTCAAACAGGTTGACCCATTGTTAGACATTCAAATCACTCCGGCTTCTGTTGCTAAAGTCATATCTCAATTAAACTCGTCTACAGCTTGTGGTCCAGACAACATACCTGTCACAGTCTTGCAGAATTGTTCTCCAGAACTTTCTTCAGTTATCTCTAAACTATTTAACAAGTGTTTGACTGAGTCTTGTTTTCCTGCTTGTTGGAAAATGGCATCTGTGGTTCCAATATTCAAAAACTCTGAAAATTCTGACCCCTCCAATTATCGTCCAATCAGTCTTCTTTCTGTTATTAGCAAGGTCTTTGAGTCTTTGATCAACAAATTCCTTACATCTCATCTTGAGTCAATTAATCTACTGTCAGACAATCAATACGGTTTTTGATCCTCTCGCTCTACAGCCGACTTGCTAACTGCTGTAACTGAAAGATTTTATCCTAAATATCTAAAGCTTTCGACAAAGTTTGGCATGCTGGTCTTCTCCATAAGCTTGCTTCATATGGTGTTTCTGGGAAAGTTTTTGAGATTATCAAATCATTTCTTTCTAACCGGTTTATTCAAGTCATCTTTGAAGGCCAACACTCTTCTTTATTTCTAGTAACTTCTGGGGCTCCCAAAGGTACCATCCTGGGCCCTGTTTTGTTTTTTATCTACATAAACGATCTTTCTGACAACCATTCATTTAAAGTAGCTCTTTTTGCTGATGACTCAACTTTATACTCCTGTCTTGACAAAAAGTCTTCTCTTTTCGATCGCCTAGAACAAGCAGCTGATCTTGAATCCAATCTCACTTCAGTAATAAATTAGGGTTCAGTGGCTTGTGAATTTTAACTCTAACAAAACCCAGTTGTTTACTGCAAACAACTACCGTAATATGGTCCTATATTAATGAATGGCAATCCTCTTACTGAGTCTTCCTCTTTACATCTTCTTGGATTATCGTTTACTACTGACCTTTCATGGAAACCATATATACAATTGATTGCTAAATTAGCTTCTGCTAAGGTTGCTTTTCTTTATCGTGCTTGCCGTTTCCTTACTTCTGATTCTATTCACTACCTCTACAAATCTCTTATTTGTTCCTGTATGGAATACTGTTGTCATATTTGGGCTGGTTCTTTTAACGATTCACTTTCTCTTCTTGACAAGGTCCAAAAACGCATTGTAAATGTTGTTGGACCTGGACTATCTGCTAAGCTTGAGCCTCTTTTCCATCGTTGTAAAGTTGCATCTCTTTCTCTTTTCTACAAATACTATCATGGTCACTGCTCAAAGGAATTATCATCTCAAATTCTATCAACTAAAATTCATTCTCGTTTTACTTGTCATGCAGCTAAGTCTCATTCGTTTACTGTATCTGTCCCTGCATGCTCTAAAAACTTTTATTCATCTAGTTTTTTTCCCTGCACTTCAATCTTTTGGAACTCTCTCCCATCTTCATGTTTTCCTGACTCATACAACCTTCAACTTTTCAAATCTTCTGTCAACCGTTTTCTTGTTCTATAACTCTGTTCTTTTTTTTTCTCCTAGTAACTCCCAACTTAATTGTGGTTGCTTGCAGCCTTGTTGGGAGTGATTGCAAATAAAATTATAAAAAAAAAAAAAAAATCTGAGCTTGAAAAGGATCTCACTTCTGCTACAGCATGGGGCTCACAGTGGCTGGTGAACTTTAATTCAAATAAAACTCAATTTTTATAGGCCAATCGTTATTGCAATAGTTTAGACCTTCCTATATTTATGAACGGTAATGTACTCGATGAGTCTCCTACCCTTTATCTTCTAGGATTAACTTTAACTTCTGATATTTCTAGGAAACCTTATATCAAATCCGTTGCAAAATTAGCATCTGCTAAAGTTGCTTCTCTTTATCGAGCTTGTCACTTTCTTACTCTGGATTCTATTCTCTACCTCTATAAATCTCAAATCCGGCCTTGTATGGAAAAAAAAAATATTTATATATATATATATATATATATATATATATATATATATATATATATATACAGGGTTCGAAATAAGCGCCTGACATCGAACATTGTCGGGCACTTCTTTAATCTTCTTCTTTAATCATTTTAGTTGTTCCAAAAGTTATTAATAAATTCAGTATATAAACATTTTATAAATATATACTATAAATTCAGTTTATAAACTTTATTTATATTCAGTATATAAACTTTTTATTTTTATACAAAACCAAATTAAAGTTGAACACGCGGCTAGTTAATAAAATATGTCATTTTATTGGCGTTAATTCATTCTTTAAAAGATGCCAATCCATTACATTTTTATGAATTAATTGCTCGGTTTTTATCATTCATAATAAAATGTTGCGAATAAGTTCAAATTTAAATTTATAGTTTAGTATTTATTTTGTTTTTTGTCTGATGGTTTTTATAAATTTCAAATAAAAATTTTAGCTTTTAAAACCTCTTTTAAATTTTGTTTTATAAAAATTTTAACGTAATAGATATTTTAATAGTTAAATAGTTATGCTTATAGAAACTTTTTATTACACTATTAAATTTGAGTTGTTATGTAACTTTTGTTTTCGCGCCAGAAAAGTTCCAGAAAAGTTTTTTTATAACCAAAAAGTGTTATAAAATTAATCCTAGATAAGGTTTAAAAAGATTTATAAAAAAATACATATTTATATGTAATTACGTAAAATATTCTTTGATAGTTTAAATAAAATGAGTTTATGGTAAACATTATAATTAATTTGTTACTTTATTTAATAAAGTATTATAGTTTTTATATATTTACATAGTAATTTATGTATTTAATAATTTTGTATTTTTATTATAGATTTTTATTACATATTTAATAATTAAATAGTTAATGTATTTAATATATGTACGTAATAATTTATTTATATAATAACTTACAAAGCATCTCACATAGTATAGTATTTTTTTAAAATGTAATATAAATATATTTTCCATTTCAAATTTTAGTTTTTTGAGCTTTGATTTTTATATCTTATATTTTTATCTTATATTTTTGATCTTATTTTTTTCATTTTATTTTCAGCGTATTTCAGTTGTCAAAATATTGCTTAAAAACAAAATATTATATGCGTGTTCAGGAATGGCCTTCAATCGCATTTCATGAGTATTTATTGGACATGTCCGGTAAACTTGAGTCTTTATCGGACAAATTGTCCGATAGAAAAAAGTTTGTTATTTCGAACCCTGAAATATATATATATATATATATATATATATATATATATATATATATATATATATATATATATATATATATATATATAGTTGATTTTTTTGTTTTTTTAATTGTTTTAATGACCGGAAAAAAGTTAAAAATTTTTTTTTTTTTTAGATTTTTGATAGACTGCCTGCCCCAACTAAACCCTAGCGGTACTTCCTTGTAGCAGAAAGCTATAAGACAAAGTAAAAGTTTGACAGTAAAGTTTTTCAGCAATATTAGAAATTTGCAAACAAAATGTAAATTAATATGTAATAAATAATATGCAATTTATAAATAATATAAACCGTTTTAAAAAAAGAGTAAAGTTTTTCTGCAGTGTAAGAAATTTACAAACTTGTAGAATTATATATTTTAAATTCCCTAGCTAAAATAAATTTAAAAAATCCAAATAAAAATTTCACACATATAAGGAAAAAAAAACAAACAAATACTGTCAAATTTGTCACATAACATCCAAACTTCCTCTCCTCCTTTGGGTGTTCCACTAACTGAGCTCAATCGTAGTATTTTATATTCACAACCTTTTTTGTTTTCTAGAAATGTAATAAAAAATTATATATATAAATGATTTAAAATCAAAAAAAGAAACAAATTTCAAGTAAAAACTCAAATAATTTTAAAAAATAACTAACTCCCATCATAAATTGGCACAGAATAGACAGTAGGCAAGTTAATTGTGTATCTACCATTGCTGTCTTCAAGAAAACAGTGGAAAGCAAGGACAACAGAGTGAACATTTAAATCTTTCATTAATGAAGATGCTTCAGACTGTAAATCTTTGTCTGAAATTTTAAAAATAAATTGCACTGTTTATTAACTCTCATAGAATTTATAATTATAAAACATAATAGCAATAACTGATATGGTGTTTTATAAATGACTTTAAAATAATAAATAGCATTAATAAATATAGCATTTCATCTTTTAATTTTTTTACAATTAAAAACCAGTAACAGTTCAAAGTGAAAAAAAGTGATACTAATGCAATAAAAAACAATTTACTCCACCTTTAATTAATTTAATATAACTCCCACGTTTAACTCATTTAATATATTCTTTATACTCATATTTACTGATTTAATACTACTACATTGACTTACTTAACTCAACTCTCACATTTAACTCATTTAAGTTAATTTCCAAGTTTAATTCATATAATTTAACTCACAAATTTCACTCACTTAATTTAAAAGTTTAACTCATTTAATAAACTCCCAGGTTTAACTCACCTAATATTACTCCCAGGTTTAACTCATTTAATTTTACCTCCAAGTTTAACTCTTTGGTTTAACTCATTTAATTTAACCCCTGAAACTTACCTCATTTAATTTAACTCCCAGGTTTAACTCATTTATTTTAAACCCCTAAATAATGTTTGCTACCCCTAATCCATTAAATAATGTGTGATAAATAATAATTTAAACCCCTAAATAATGTGTGCTAAAACTAAAACTATCTTTTTGAGGAAAAGTAAAAAAAATATTGTTGTATTCAACACCATTAGTCTAATAATAAATACTTACTGTTGCATTCGACACCAGTTAGTCTATTAATAAGTTTTTTGTCTTCCCGGTCTTCAAGTCGCTTCACAAACGTTTCAACATCAATAGGAGGATTTATACTATTATACTTTTTAAGATACTCTGACTGAAGCACTCTTTCTTTAAACAAAAAATTTTTTGTTTCTTTTGTTTTTTCTTGTTGAACAGCTACATGCTCTAGTCTAAATTAATTCAAATGAGTAAAAAATAATAATACAGTAAATTCTTTTTAACTTGAAAGGACCAAAGAAAAAGGTTCAGCCAAACAAATGTTATACTTAAGCAAAATAAAACAATTGTTTTTGCTTTCAAGCAGCGCCGGATTAAGGAAATGGGGGCGGGGGGGGGATAGGAGGGCTATAGCCCTGGACCCCTCAAATTTAGGAGCCCCCAAAAATTTTAGAGGACTTTTTTTAGTCATTTTTAGGCTCTGGCCCATAAAAAGGCCTCCAAAAACAAAAATAGCCCTGGGCTCCAAGAAGTCTTAATCCGCCACTGTTTTCAAGGGACTAAACTGGACTGTAGAAAACAGTTCAAGATAACAAAAGTTTGAGTTAATTGGTGTTTGACTTACTGGAAATTACCTGTAATAAAAAACTAAAAAAAAAATTTAATTTAATAATAATTTTTTTATAAATAGACTTTAAAATTAAAACTATCAACTTTTGTTATTGTTTTGTTTTGTAGGAGATTAAATGTTTAATATACAGAAGTGTATTGGTTGTCCTATTTATTAATGCAAGACCAATATATACATAAGGTAAACAATACAAATATGTATATAGCTAAACCATGTAATCAAATTAAAGCATTTTTTTTTATTTAAAGAAAAAATGTTACAGCAGTATTCCAGTAAATTTGTTTCATGTTTAAGTAAATACTGTTCATTGTATCAACTTGTTCTTATAATGCAATGCATTCACTTTGGTATTGATCATTGATTTTTTCAATAATTTGTTGCAGAAACATTCTAGTAATTATTTTCAGAAAAATATCCTAGTAATTTTATTTCCAGTAATATGTAGCAATTATTTTCATTGTCACAATTTCAGAATGAGGTTGAAACTATCATGGTAATATACAATATGTACTAATACTTTTTATGAGTTTCTATTTTAAAGGCAAGGGCTGGGGAAAGTTTTTAACATAAAACACTCCCCTATCTTGAGGCTTTTTGTTTAGTAAATACTAGATATGATTTCTTATTAAAAAATTTTAATCTTGAAAAGATGCAAACTCCTGCCAATTTTTACAGAAGGCCTTAAATCAGACTTTAGGAGTAAGCAGAAAACTTCTGTTTTGTCTTATTCATCACTGACCACACACTTCTTACCCTTTCTGACACTGACACACTTCCATAATGAAGCTGATACATCCATTAGTGGACATTTTTATCGCATCAGTTTTAATTTTTAAAGTTATTTCTTACTTAACCTTTTCTTCAACTTGTGATTCAGACTTCTGTCACAGTCTAGCAATATGTTTTTAAATAGCCTTGGAACTATTTAACAAGGGTTCAAAATTTAACATTAATTTAAGTGCATTAAATTTAAAAAGTGTACTAAAAAACTAAATCATGTTTTTCTACCAGCTAGAAAATGACATCTGTTTGATAGATAACTCTGGAGATTGTTTTGACCCTTCCAACTTTCATCCAACTCTCACTATAATTGGTAAGATCTTCAAGTCTTTAATTAATAAACTTCTAATACCACATCTTACCTTTATGACAACCTATAAATTATGAGACCAATAAAATATAAGATTTTATCATAAAGTTTAGTTAGTGATTCAGCATTGATTAAAATTCAGCTTTTGAATGCTTAGCAAATCCTATGTAATCACTCCTCTATGACAGCTTGGAGTTAAAAAAAGCTGGTGATTTTTAACCCTACCGAAAAAAGTAACCAGCCACTGTAGTGTTCTTGTTCCTGTTTTGTTGATCATTTTTAGAACTTTGTTTTTGTTATAGTAAAAGTTATAGTGAAATGTTAAAGTAAAACTCTTTCTAAATTTTTTTACTTTATGTCTTCTTGGGTTACCTTCCACTACTGACCTTTTATGGTAACCATACAATATAATTGATTAAAAAATAGGGATAACTCTCTACTTACACAGTAAGTTATTGTTTATGAAAAAATAAATTACATAAATAACTTTATAGGTTTAAAATAAATTTACATTTCTGCATAAGTAATTAATTTTTTTAAAAAGACTTACTTTATAATGTAAGTTTTTTTACTTTCAAAAGTAAGTTATGTAAAAGTAGATAACATCAAAAATTAATTTACTTTTACATATAAAAAAGTTCATAAGAAAAAGCTGTTTACTTTTACACATAAAAGTTAGTAATTTTTTAAATTACGTTACATAATATAATACAGGGTGTCCCACGGAAAATTTCGAATTTGTAAAGGCTGTAAAGAAAAACAGCTTTAAAAAATTTCAATAAAATGTGCTTTATTTGAAAGATTTTAATGACATTTATTTGTGGAAAATAATTTTATTCAAATGTCCACCTTGATTGACTTGGCAGTACCCCATTCAATCAACCCAATTTTTCAGTACATTCTCAATTGTTTCCGCCCGAATTGCAGCAATAGCAGCTTTATTTTATTTTTCAAATTGCTAATCATTTCAGGATGCTTGGTGTAACTTATGTCTTTGACCGCTCCCCAATGAAAATAGTCTAACGGTGTCAGATCGCAGCTTTTTGGCGGCCATTTCACATCACCATTTTTGCTGATTATTCAATTTTCAAAGGCAGTGCTCAGAAGATCGATTGTAAGATTGATTGGGCTGTAGACATCTAGACATCTTGTTGAAACCAAATATCATGAAAGCCTTCGGCTTCAATTTGGTCAAAATAATAATCAGATAATATGGCAGGATAGCGCTCACCATTGATGGTTACTGTGGCTCCTGCCCTATTTTTGAAGAAAAATGGGCCAATGATGCCGCCTGACCAAAAACCGTACCAAACAGTCACTCTTTGTGGATCCATTGACTTCTCCTCAATGACGTGCAAGTTTTTACTTCTCTAAAGGCGACAGTTTTATTTATTAACATAACCATCGAAGTTGAAATGAGCTTTGTCTAAGAAGATGATTTTTCCATAAAATTCTGGGTCTTCTTCCAAACGATCTTGTGCCCTATTTGCAAAGCATAGGCAGCTGGGATGGTCAATTGGCTTTAGCTGATGCACTAATTGAACATTGTATGCCTTCAAAGCAAGATCTTTACATAAAATTCGGTGCAAATTGACCATGAAAGGTTTAACTCTTGAGATCAACGGCAAATTGATGTTGATGGACGTTCACAAACACTATCACTCACAGTGCCAATATTTTCGGTTGATATGCTGGAAATGGACGTTTATGTGTTGTCTTATCCATTAGTAAACCAGTTTCACGAACACGATTCACAAATTGTCGTAGAAATACCTCTGTCTTTTTTTTTCCCAATTTTTTTATCAAATTTCAAACAGCTTGCGTTGGAGACTCACCACTTAGGAAACAAGTTTTTATTGTTTCCCAATTTTGTTCAAGCGAATAGCGACCCATTTCATAAATATCAGACTTTATACTAAATATCTGTATTTTTTCTTGACATTTGACGTTTCAAATGTCAAATAATTGTTAGTTCAAATTCGAAACACTAGAATAGTAAACCCTGTAGTTTTACAAACTGTAACTTACAGGCCCTGCAGATATAGGAGCCGCTAACATTTTAAGAAGATGTTTTATTTTTGTACAATTTTGTCATCACTTTGATAAGAAAAATGCTCACCTGCTCAAAAATTTTCTTCAGACACTGAAAGCCTCCACATGGGCATCATGTGGTTTTTAACCTGGGAATATGAGCACAGGTTACAGGACATGGCCTCTAGATGGGTTGCATTTGATCGAATTTGACAGAATACTTTGTTTGCATAAACCATGGAATATTCTGTCAAGTGTATTGAAGAAATATGCTCTTTTTCACTATATTTATATTGTATACATTATCTTTTATATACTTGTCAATTCTGATTGATTGTTTGTTCCCAGTTAACAGCCAGACCGTTGGTCCTAGAAACTTGAAATTTGGCATGGATGATCCCCATGACCCAGGGAGTGACATAGGCTATGTCAAGTTGACCTTAGAGGTCACTGGAGAACACCCGGGGTTGCGGGGGCTTTCAAATGGTCATTTCTGGGTCGGGGGGCAGATAGATTGTGCCTTATGAATTGCAGAGTTGTTCCTCGTCCCCGTAGGTGGGGGTGCAAATGACCTTGGGTGTGACATCGGGGGTTGCTGGAGGTCAGAATGGTCTGGGGGATGGGTTGAGTGTTTCCTATTATGTAATTTTGGTCGGTTTCTGTTGTGTTCCATGGATTGCTGTTGCCTGTTTCGTCGTTTTCCAGAGTTTTCTGGAATGTTTCATGTTTTTCCGGAGTTGAACAGAATTTTCCGGAGTGGTCTAGAGTTTTCTGGAATGTTCCATAGTGCACAGTGTGGCTGTTCTATCACCTTCCAGAGCATTTGGGGTTTTCCAGAGTGTTCTGTGGTGCTCTTTGGCTCTGTCTGGAGCCTATCATGGCGATGTAGGTGGATCACCAGAGATCGCACATAGCTCAGTTTTTACCGGGTTGCTGAGGTAAACACATCATTTGCAGGGTTGCAGTTCTGGAAGTCAGTTCGGGGGGTCGGTTTTCTCTTTGTATGTTGCTGCGGGGAACGGGTGGAGAAATATTGTTTTTTGGTGGTAACTAATTCATTTTTGCTTCTTTTATTTTGTGGTGGTCAACTTGCTACAGGGGCATTGTACTTTTCAAATGAGTATTGTGTATGAATATATATATAAGATATGTGTACGGTGTATATAAAATCCCCGGATGGAAGAACTTATAATGTTGTGTACCAAGAGGCTCTGCGGCGGTTTTTTTATAGTACCCAAGATTGAGAGTTTTCTTTGTACACCAGCAATTTGGATTTGTTTTGCCGGTGCCAAGCAATGCAGGCACCTCTGCTAGTACATTATAATTATTAAGAGTTATACACTCATCCAAAAATTGACACGATTTATTATTTTGAAAAAGAGTTAGCAAAAGTTTATTATCAATGATATCAATTTAATATGCAATATTAATTCAGCCCACTAAGCATTTTAGCACACTAAGCCATAGATGCACTGCATTAA